CTCATGCAAACAAGGCCCAGAAATGTGAACAACAAAGTATGTGGATTGCATAGTGTTCCCATGTGCGCCACAAATGCAAATCCCACATTTAAATGGTGATGCATTATGTTAAATTCCTGCAAAATGGCATTTCATCCTAAAATAAGCGAGGTGAAAAACTTGCTCTTTTTATGCTTCTGCAACACTGGAAAATACATAGTACATTTACGACCAGCACCGTAGTCAAATAGTAACCCTGTCCTTAGAAGGTGGCACAAACAAAAGGTAAACATAATGGACACTTAAAAAGGATATCTGTCTTTTTCAACATTTATGCAATAAAAACGGTGTCTATTCTTCATTCACGGATGTTTTGTGGAGATATTGGTGAGGGGACACAGTGGTTGCAGTACCCTTACAACAAATCTGGCTCAAACAAAAGGACGTAGTGATTAGTTATTGCACCTCTTTGTCCATTTGTCACATTTGCGGCTATTGCCAATTTCTATGATACACTATTAGTACAAAATGAATGGATTGATGTGCATACAAACAGAAATTAGTATTACAGTTTTTTTTACAATCACTAGGACCCATTTCTCAATATTAGGTCACTTTTTCAAAACTCTTCACATAACTAAACAACAGCAGCCTCCTATTTTCCATTGCTTTGACAAAATGCATTTAATGACTAAACAGTTCTCAAATTATGTTAATTAATTTCTCACGCAAACACAATCGCCATCAAAATTCAATCCATCTACAGGTCAATTGGCACATTAACATACTTTATTCAAAACGTTTAAAATTGAGTTCAAAACTTAACAGCAATTTGCTACACTTCTACAGTAATACTATATTTAAATATATTCCAAATCTAAACGACACTATCAAAACAATTACATGTAGCTGAACACCTACACAGGTGTAAGTCTTTCATTTCATTATCATCTACAAAACTTTGCATTTTGTGCTGTAATGTAAACATGGACCATGTAACATACTGCAGTGAATTCTAAACAGCAAAGAGGTGTCATTCTTGTTTTGTAAAGAAGATGTTTTACAAAACATCTACAACTCTTGGTGTTTTTAGGTCATTGTTTTATGAGTGACAAAGGGTTTTTCCACTCTGTGCTTAACCTCGGGTTATCATTGTTTTAAACCCTGGGCAATGGTACGCTTTACACTTGTAATGTGCAATTTTTAACCCGGTATAGTCCACCGAAAAGTCCATTGA